GTCGCCTCGTCCCGTTGTTCATGACCGGCCCTAGCACTAACGCGTTGAATCGAGGCTTTTCCGCCGCGCGAAATGCTCGATTTTTGGTTCTCTGGCTTTAGGGGCCCGTCCAACGCCGAGGAAATAGACTCTCCGTTAACTACGAGATCTAGTTTCTCCAGCTTCTCGTCAGCTACATCGTGAACGACCTCACTACCCGGCCTACAAACGACTTGCTTACTTTCGTTTGCATCCGACTCTAATTTCTCATCTACACCAAATACTACCGGCCTGCAAACGACTTGCTTTCTTTCGTTTGCAACCGATTCTAACTTCTCACCTACATCTAAAACTACCGGTCTACAGACGACTTGCTTTCTTTCGCCTGTGTCCGATTCTATTTCTAACCTTACATTAATGATGCGATCGGAATTCCTTATTTCCGACGCAACAACCGAGTTGCTCTTCCTTTTTAGCAGCTCGTCTATCCAAACCGCCCGTTCGATTTGCTTTAAGCAGGAGTCGCTGAGCGGTCGGCGGCTCCTGCACCCGAGTTTCCCTGTCTTACTTGACTACAAGTCGGACAATTTCGGAAGACAAATCCAACGGTCCCGCAAACCTGACACTCTGGCTTGGCCTCCGTCGGTCTCAGTGGGCAATTATTTGCATAATGCCCTGGTTGTCTGCACTTGTAGCAGACAATCGGCTGCGTATTTTGCGCGGCCGGACACTGAGACCTCTGATGGCCAACCAGACCACACGCGAAACACGCGCCTGCAAAAGGACGTGGTCCTCTCGCGGCACCTGTTTGAGCGCCATTAGCTTGTCCACGCTGTTGTGGAATCAAACTCGGCGCGGAGAACATCGGCACCTGGGCGGCCGGCGGCTGCGCTGCAACGTTCTGCTGAGCTGCAATATTCGGTTACGCTGCAACGTTCGGTTGCGCAGCCTGCTGCGAAGAGCGGTTCGTCGCCTGCGGCTTCGCGCCTTGGGCATTAGCCGCGGCAACTTCGCTCTTCGGCCCTTTGCCCTTGGCCTTTGCCTTCTTTCTGCTAGCGCGCGTTTCTTTAGCCGGTTCTGCTGTTAAAACCTCATCTAATTCGCCCGCGACCTGTTCTACTGCCCCGATCGCTTTCTTTCCAGCCGGCTTCTTAGGCTCGGAATAAGCGGACTCCGGCACGAGCGTAACGTCCGCGCTCGGTGGACGCTGCCACCTTTTCCAGCCCGCCATTCGATCTTCCAGAGCTAATCCTGCCTCTTTAAATTGGCTTAAATTTTGAAAGCTTTTTGTCTCTAGAAAGCGCTTGTACTGGGGGTGTAGTCCTTCCACAATTATAGCTACCTGTCTTTTATCGGATACCGGAGGATCGAAGCATCTTAAAATTGATTGGAAAGCAGCTACATAATCCGAAATACGTTCGCGCTCTCCTTGCGACCTCTGTCTTAGCTCTCGGTACAGCTGTTCGCGAGTAAGCCGGCGACAAAAGTTAGCCGAAAAACTCTTTCTAAATCCTAAGAAACTTGCCCACTGTTTACGGTTAAGTTCGTACCATGAACGTGCCTTGCCCCGGAAGGTAGTGCCAATAGCATTTAGCATTTCTTCGTCCGAAATACCGTAATAACGCTGGCAGTCTTCTAACCCTGATAAATAACTCATCGCGTTCATGTCATCATCGCCCAAGAAACGAAGCGACCATGCTATCAACGCACTAACGCCATCGGCCGGCACGCCATTTATATACTTAACGCGTTTCGGGCTTTTTTCTCTAGTTTTAGTTTTAATCGGCCTGTCGCTATGCTGCGATACGCTTTCCTTGCGGTCCCCGATCTCTGACTCGGAGGAGCTCGAGAGGTCAACCGTGCTGCCATGGTCCGGCAAAATCTTTGTTTTCGCCTTGACCGGCCTGCTCTTTGACACTCTCGTGGAAGCTCTAGACTCCGAGCCCGAGCCTACTTTGTCTAAACCTGATGCGCGCGTGTACTCGCTACAGGGTGCGCGTACAGCCCTTTCCCATTCACGAACCCAGGTCTCTGTGTCAGGTTGCGAGGGCGATTTATAGATAGTTTCGAGAGAGCTGTTTGGGAATAATATCTGATTCATCGGCCTTTCTCCACGCGGAGGAACGCCTGGGTGAATCTGATAGACGGGGCCGGCGGCCGCTGGCACGTTCAGCGCCGCGCGGCCGGCCGACGGATCGGCCTGCAACGGCCGTTGAGCCTGTTGCAAGGCCTGATCCACTCCTCCTTGCACAGCTTCTCTCTCTACCCTATATAATGCCTTAGTACCGTCAGTGATACCTTGCTGCACCTCCCGCCGATAAATCCATCGTGGGACTGCTGTTATCGCGTCCCAAACCTGACTAAAAGTACCGTTGCTGCGTCTTTCTAACTCGGGCGCGGTCGCAGCGCGTACGCCTACCTCTGGTGTCATCGCACTGGCGGTAGCGGTGGCGGGTAAAATTTCCTCCTCTGGGATGGGAGTGATAACCCTTTCGCCCGGCGGCCGAATTGGCTCAGGCAGAACGGCAACGCGGTCGGGTGATCGCGTCGCCTGTCCTGGTGATCGCCATTCTGCCACCTTTGGCGGCGCAACCTTAGCCGATTCGACCGTCCTATTCTCGCTCTCGTCGCTATTAATTACCCTATGCATTGACTCGTCGCGCGTTACATCAGGCACGCGACCCGACGCAAAATCGCCCGGCTGTAAAGGCGACCCAAGCTCTGGCATCTCCGACGCGATCGTGAAGCGCAAGTACCTTTCCCTAAGTTCGTCCATGTCGCCGTGCAACGCTAACCCACGGTAACGCATCAACTCAAGTAGGGCAACCGGCTCCGTCGAATCGATGCGGCGCTTGACTTCCTTGACGCGGGCATCGCGGAGAATTCTACGCATGGTTACGCGATCCTTACATGCAAGCGGCATGGTGCGATCGAATCGTTAACTTAAAAAAAAAATTCAAATGAAAAAAAAATACTTAAAAAAAAACTATTTTCAAATTCAACGACGCGCGCGAGTTGCCAACGGACAGCTAACACATTAAAAGAAAAATATAAACGGAAAAACTACACTATGTAACCAACCAAAAAAAGAAATAAATAATAAACGAATACAAAAAAAACTATGTTCCTTCAGTGTGCTAAGCCGGCAAGTTATCGCCTTGCCTAGAACGAGAAAGGAATGCAGCGTTCGAACGTAAACATACTCGGACACTCAAATTCTCAGAAGCGAACACGTGTTGGCGCGAGCGACCTTTGCGCGTCGCGACCTGATACACTGATGCTTCAAATTTCCACGCTTTCTCTCAAACAAAGGCGCGTTGTTTTAACACGCTTTGCCCTTGCTAACAAAACGCGACAAAATCACTTTCACAAACCACACGACCGAATTAACCGTAAAAAAAAAGAAAATGTAATTACTAATGCTACTTATTAACTATTCGCGCACACACATACAAACACCGTTCTCAATTCTGCTTTTGCCCATCCCCACAAGGGATGCCATGTAATAGCGCCGGCGTGCAATACCGATATATTCACTACTATTACCAATTATTTATAAAGGGGGAAGGCAAGGGAGGCGGTGTATCGCTCCAAGCAAAGCAGGAAGGAGAACAGCGGGCGAAATAACTTCACACACAATTCGTTGGCAAACCGTTTATTACAAGGCACTACCTCGAGTGCCGACGAGAACACAAATCACTTATTACTATTAACACGCGAACTTATTCTAAACGAGATGACCGGCACGTTAGCGCCATGTCACCTCATTAACCGGCTCAAACAATTACTTAAATTTACACACTGCCGAAAACTACGCCGGCTCGGAAAAGCCTGGCGTAGCAACGCGAACCGTGAGAATCGCCGAGGAAAGACAGAGATATAGAGAGAGAGGAATCGGTGACCTGACCAAATTGGTGGACGTCGCTGTTGCTGGCAGCCTTGAAGGTGTCCCACCGGCGGCTAGTCTGGAAAACTCCTCGCTGCTGCGTGGCCGGCGACCTGGCAGAAAAGGCTGTCGGGTTCTGCCTCGGTGACGGCTTCTTACAGGGCAGCTGCTGCGTCGCTGGCAGAGGAAGTCCCGTCCGGCCGATCTGCTGAGGAATGCTGACTTCTTCCGGACAAAGGGCAGGCAGCGATGGTCACCAGCTAACTCTCGACTGATTGCTGTCGCGCGCGTCGCGTCACTCTCTGTCGCGAGTGCGCGAGAGCCGGCTTCTCACGCTTTCTCCCACCACTCGCCTAATCGGCGGCACGCGGCAATGCCCGTCGCGACAAGTGCCGCGCGCCAAGCCCAATACTCAAACTATTGCTTTCTCTCTCTCTCTCTCTCTCGCACTCTCAATACTCGAACGCGTCGTCGCGTCCACGGCTTCTCCTTCCACCGCTCTCGTGCGTAGCTGAAAAATAAAGGGCAGGCATCAGGCACGTGATAACAACGTGCGCTTGATGCCGGCCGTGCGCCCTTGCCTAGGAAGGAGAGGGAGATAAGCGAACGGTGCAGGCCATGACGGGCCTACACCGTCACAAATATTTGGCCAAAAGCAGCACAGTAATGATGCCGCAGCCACCGTATTTCCCAGACCTGGTCCCTATGTCTTTTTTCTGTTCCCAAAACTGAAGAGGTCCATGAAAGGACAACGCCACGCCATGATTGAGGAGATAAAGATGGCATCGAAGGAGGAGCTGAATAAGATCACAAAAAATGATTTTTTTAAGTGCTTCGACGTTTGGAAAAAACGTTGGTATAAGTGCATTATATCCGAGGGGGACTATTTTGAAGGAGATAAAATAGATTTTTATGAATAAATAAATAATTTTTTAAAATATACAAAATTCACGATACTTTTTGAACAGATACACACAATAAAAGCTTTCTTTCTTCAAACTTTTTATTGTTCAAAAAATATATAATATTTTTATTATGGTATTTGAGTTGTACTATATTATATTCCAAATCCAAACTCATTAACACTACGGATTGGTGAATATTTTAATTGAGTTAGTAAATATTTCATTTATAGATATATTCAAGTTGACGAAGACAGACAATGGGACAGTGGAGGAACATTGTACGCAAGCTATAATATATTTCATGGAAATCAACAGAATAAAAAATCACTTCCACAGCGACCAACTTGTAATTCATGTACAACAACTATATGTAACTGTAAAAAAAATACCTACAGGTACAGTATTTTTATTGTTTATTATATTGGAGATTTATGCTTCTTATTTGATAGATAATTAATTATTATTTATACGATATTTTTCCGAAATCCATATTAAGTTAACCAGAAACAATAATATACGAGGGTCGTTTGAAAAATTCGTGCAAAAATAAAAACTGCTTGATTTTTTTTAATAAATCTTTTTTATTTTTCAACATAGTCTCCTTTTAGGCTTATACACTTCATCCACCGCTGTTATAGTTTGTTAATCCCTTCCAAATAATAGGATTTGTCCAAGTCTGTAAAATAGGCATTCGTTTCTGCAATCACCTCCTCGTTTGAATAAAATCTTTTCCCTGCCAACCATTTTTTCATATTAGGGAACAAATAGAAGTCCGACGGAGCCAAGTCTGGAGAATAGGGGGATGTGAAACGAGTTGGAACCCTATCTCCATCAGTTTTGCGGACACAACTGCTGAGGCGTGAGCTTGCGCATTGTCGTAGTGGACGAGGACTTTTTTGTGGGCCAATCGTGGACGCTTCTCTAGCAACTCGGTTTTCAAACGATCCAATAACGATGGATAATATTCGCCTGTAAAGGTTTTACCCTTTTCCAGCTAGTCGATGAAGATTATTCCTTGCGAATCCTAAAAGACAGTCGCCATAACCTTCCCGGCACAAGGAATTGTCTTCGCCTTTTTCGAATGAAGTGATGAAACGACGCTTAAAGTCTTGCGGATTTTGCTGGAACAGCTGCAAACCATTCTTGCAACACTTCACACGATCTCGTTTTTGGTCAATCGTGAGCAATCGCGGCACCCATCTAGCGGATAGCTTTTTCATGTCCAAATGTTGGGGCAAAATATTATGTACCCGTTCGCTCGAGATGCCAACAGTACTAGCAATCTCACGCACCGTCACTCTTCTGTCAGTCATCACCATATCATGGATTTTATCAATGATTTCTGAAGTGGTAACCTCAACAGAGCGTCCAGAACGTTCAGCGTCTTTTGTGCTCATATGGCCATTCCGAAAATTTTGAAACCACTTATAAACCATTCTAATCGAAGGTGTACAATCACCATAATGTTTATCAAGCTTTTGTTTAATCTCCTGAGGCGTTTTGCCTTTGAAAAAGTAATGTCTAAACAATATACGAAATTCTTTTTCGTCCATTTTTTTACAACCACTCGATTTCTTTGATTGAAACGAATGTAAAACGCAAAGTGATTGGCCGATCTGGCTGAAAATTGGTGTGTACTCTTCCAAGATATGACACTAACTGAAAATAACCTTGATATGCACTAGTAGCGCCATCTCTGTGACTTTACACGGACTTTTCAAACGACCCTCGTATAGATAAAAAAATATTTCTTGAACAGCTTTTTATTAGAGATAACTACTATCACTACACATCATAAATAAATAGCCATTTAATACCATACGTAGTTCAGTAACGACGTTACAGATTACAAATAACACTGTTACTTGAGTACAGATAATCATATTACTTTTTAAAGATATCATGATAACTTTAGTTGTATAGTAAATACACTATCGTTAAATTTTCATTACTATTTGAATTATTTTTCATCACATATTTATCATTTTTTTATTTTATTGCATCTGCCAGTCATAAAGAGCTTTGCGTTTAGGATCCTTCTTTACCTTCTTTTCACAAAATGAATAACATGAATGATGGTGTTGATAGTATCAACACAAGCGTTTTGTAATCATTAACGCAATTCATAAAACCATTTCTAATTTATATAGGGCGTCTGAAAAGTTTTGAGACAGTATAGTAACACTGGAGGAATGCATTTTCAAAACAAAAAAATAATGTTTTATATAAAAGATATCAGATTTTTCCTTAGCTATTTAATGATGAGTTTGAATTTGACCCCGTCTTTTTAACGTCGATCAGAAAAATAGTTTGGTTGATTCTTGATTTTTTTCCAATTCGACCTTGCAAGGTCACAGTCATGATCAAATATCTTTGAAGTATAACATTTAAACAAAATGATCATGACATCAAGTTATAGCTTGTTGCAGCGAAACTTTTTACAACAGAGCCGATCAAATCAATATTCGGCAGAGTTTAGCTAATCAAGATAATACCTTTTACAGCTCAGCAGGTCAAGGCCAAATCTTCTCGATCCAGCCAGTCAAGGCAAGATCTTTAACAGTTCAGCATTGTAGTAAGTGCTGTAAGTATACTCCGTTCAACTTCCTTCCTTCTTCTGACAATGACCCCATCGATTATAAAAACAATTAATGACATTGGTGATGTATTCGTTTGGTATAACTATACAATCGTCTAATATGCGTTGTTATAAATCTTCTTAATTCTGAAAACTCTATTTCTAAGGTAGCTCACTAGAAAACAATCGAGAACAATTAGGTTAACCTATTGAGCTGATCATTCATTAAATATTCGACGACCTAACTAACGATTGTTAAAGTTAACGTCCAAATAATTGCGTATATTTCTTCTATAATGAATTAGGGCACCATATTGTTGGAAGTATGTAGCTCAAAATTTTGACCAGATATTTTTTATTATTCTAGAAATGATTTAGTCATGGTTGCAGCACACAGGCGAAGAGGCATAAAATAGCTATGAAACATGACCGCACTCGACTATATACAATAAGTTAGATAATCGAAGCTCGCCTAAAAATATTTTACCTTTCTTATATTCTTTACACGTAATATACTGATATATCCAATAGCAAATTAAAAAGATTCGATTACTATTTTTCATTCAAAAGCAGTTTTAGTTCAATTGATGTATTTTTGCAAAAGTTATTTAGAAAACAAGATTTTTTCATTGTCATTTTCTCGAACAATTTTTCATCACAGGTTTTATTTCATGTAGAGTAAGAATCCTAAATATATTAATTCATATAAAAGGTTGTAGTAACACAGTGTATATAACCTACATATTAATTATATGCTTTATTTGATTAGTGAAAATTTTCTAATTTACTAAAAATGTTAATATTGTCTGAATACTTAAAATATCAGTCTGTACAATAAAATATCAATCATATCCCGATGACGAGAATGCCTCGGCAAACACGCTTCCAGATTAAGAATAAATGGTAAAAAAGTCTGAAAAAATTCATGAGTAGGTTTTTAAGGATGCTGAATCTAAATTCGAAGTTAGACAACTTCTATCAACTCACTTTCTTCTATCAAAAAATTTTAAAAAGATTCTTTATTTTGCATGCATCTTTACTTTTATTCATTGGTATGCATGCTTTTTTCTTCAAATGATTGACGTATTAGATTTTATTTACATTTTGTTTCTTTATGTTGTCTTTATCTTTTTAACATCCAGCAGTAATCAGCCACTATCGCAACATCGTATCTACTTTCATAGCACTGCTCCATATTCTTTACGTTTTTATGGAATCACTCTCCATATTAGTCGCTAAAATCTCTACAGTTTTCTTGGAACTGATCTAAATGGTTATAAAAGAAAAAGAAGTTTATATGACATGTTATTTCGTCAAAATTTTTAATTATCGTACTATAGATATTAAAATTTTATAATCCTTACTTCTGGGTATACTTAAAACATTTTATATAACTTACTTGAAGTCAATCTATATAGCTTTCTGATTCGCAGCCATAGTAGTCAGAAAATTGTCATCTTTTAGCATTTTTTTGTTACTTCAGACCCATCGAATATTCCTTCTTTTAATGATTTACAGGAAAATTTAGAGTCTAAATATTTGTAGCATTCGTCACTTTCGCTTCACAGAGATCACCAAGGAAGAAATAAAAGGTCAAGTTCTCTTTCTTCCGGTTTCTTTTCTTTCTCTCGCAGTGATGTGCAACCACGTGAACTTATAGGTAGCCTGGCGAGTGTTTGCTCGACTCTTTATCGCGATTTATACTTGTGTGATTACTGTAAGATTATGTAGCCAGGCATTCATTCGCTGGCTATTTCATGCGGACTTTTATAGTAGAATAAGTCACATTTGTTATTAATTAGCATACATAATGTAATAGGTGTTCAATTGATAAATTTAGTTTGATTAGTTCAAGCGGACACTTGATTGTAGTGTAACGGTCCTATATATGAGCTATTTATTAAATTATTAAATGACTGCAACTAGTCTAACGTATTTATCTGTTAGTCAAAACAATACATTAAGCGGCGCTACCTCACTGTTTACGCGACTGTATACAAATAAGAGTCGAATCAAAATAAACAGCGTGACGTCACAAATAATAGACATAGATATAATGATTCATAATGTTGAGAAAAATATGTTAATTATAGATAATTTGAATATAACAAAGTATCGATTATATAGATTTTAACATGCAGATTCACAATATCTCATTCAATTATAAATTAATAATGAATATCAATATGTAAAGTTAATTTATTTATTAACATATGAAATATTAGCAAAATATAAATAATTTATATGTAAAATGAATAAGCATAGAACATGAGTAAGAATTGGTTTCATTAATAACAGCTAAATAACAACTGTTATTAATAAATAAACAATTAATAATTTATTTAAACAATAAGCTATATATAGAACGAAAATATTAAGTTAATACTTGATAATGACAATTTTATGATTGAGAAATCTTAGATAATTAATCTAATAATCGCATATTAAGATTAGAAGAAAACCGTTACAAATATGAAAAATTAGTCATAATTCAAATGTTATTAATTAATTTAAATAATTAATTTTGGAAAACACTTCCAAAATTAATCAACTATAAATAAAATATATCTATTATTAAAATTTCATATAAAATATGAAATTTTAATAATTTTCTATTGTAAATAATGTAATATCACGTTAATTAACTTTATTAGTTAATAACTTTTGACGACACTATTGGCGATAACTATATATTGTATAAAATCAACAAATAACTAATTCTATAAAATTTACATGTGTTAAAAACTTAATATTAATGGTTGTTTACTTGTAAATTAAGAAAAATCATTTCTCAAAATTCACTTCTAGCCTTGCAAA